TCACCCTAAGAAAGCATTGGTAGAATATTTGTTGTAGTGTATCAGCTGACTGTGTGTATTGTAGGGTAGTGCATACTAAAGAAAGCAGTGAGTGAATCTGTTGTTGTAGTGTATCCAGCTGACTGTGTGTACTGTAGGGTAGTCTGCATCACCCTAGAAAGCAGTAAAGGTGAATCTGTTGTTGTTATGGTGTATCCAGCTGACTGTGTGTATTGTAGGGTAGTCTGCATCACCCTAAGAAAGCAGTAGTGAATCTGTTGTTTGTAAGGTGTGTATCCAGCTGACTGTGTGTACTGCGGGTAGTCAGCATCACTAAGAAAGCAGTGAGGTGAATCTCTGTTGTTGTAGTGTATCCAGCTGACTGTGTGTGCACTGTAGGGTAGTCTGCATCACCCTAAGAAAGCAGTGGGCGAATCTGTTGTTGTAGTGTATCCAATGACTGTGTGTATTGTAGGGGTAGTCTGCATCACTAAGAAAGCAGTAGAGTGAATCTGTTGTTGTAGTGTCAGCTGACTGTGTGTACTGTGGTAGTCTGCATCACCTAAGCAGTGAGTGAATCTGTTGTTGTAGTGTATCCCAGCTGACTGTGTGTATTGTGGGTAGTCCAGCATCCCTGCCCTAAGAAAGCAGTGAGTGAATCTGTTGTAGTGTATCCAGCTGACTGTGTGTATTGCCAGGGTAGTCTGCATCACCCTAAGAAAGCGTGCAGAGTGAATCTGTTGTTGTAGTGTATCCAGCTGACTGTGTGTGTGCTGTAGGTAGTCAGCATCACCCTGAAAGCAGTGAGTGAATCTGTTGTTGTAGTGTATCAGCTGACTGTGTGTGTGCTGTAGGGTAGTCAGCATCACCCTAAAAGCAGTGAGTGAATCTGTTGTTATGGTATCCAGCTGACTGTGTGTATTGTAGGGTAGTCTGCATCACCCTAGAAACAGTGAGGTGAATCTGTTGTAGTGTATCCAGCTGACTGTGTGTACTGTAGGGTAGTGCATCACCCCTAAGAAAGCTTAGTGGAGTAGATCTGTTGTTGTAGTGTATCCAGCTGACTGTGTGTGCACTGTAGGGTAATCAGCATCACCCTAAGAAAGCAGTGAGTGAATCTGTTGTTGTAATGTGTCCAGCTGACTGTGTGTTGTAGGGTAGTCTGCATCACCCTAAAGAAGCAGTGAGTGAATCTGTTGTTGCCTTAGTGTATCCAATGACTGTGTGTGCACTGTAGGGTAGTCTGCATCACCCTAAGAAAGCAGTGAGTGAATCTGTTATTTATTTGTAGTGTATCCAGCTGACTGTGGCCACTGTAGGGTAGTCAGCATCACCCTAAAAGCAGTGAGTGAATCTGTTGTTGTAGTGTATCCCAGCTGACTGGTTATTGTATTGTAGGGTAGTCTGCATCACCTAAAGAAAGCAGTGGTGAATCTCTGTTGTTTGTAGTGTATCAGCTGACTGTGTGTATTGTGGGGTAGTCTGCATCACCCTAAGAAAGCAGTAGGTAGATCTGTTGTTGCCAGTGTATCCAGCTGACTGTGTGTATTGTAGGGTGGTCTGCATCACCCTAAAAGCAGTGAGTGAATCTGTTGTTGCTTGGTGTGTCCAGCTGACTGTGTGTGACAGCAGGGTAGTCATCACCCTAAAGCAGTAGTGAATCTGTTGTTTGTATGAGTGTATCCAGCTGACTGTGTGTGCTGTAGGGTAGTCAGCATCACCCTAAGAAGCAGTGAGTGAATCTGTTGTTGTAGTGTATCCAGCTGACATGTGTATTGTAGGGTAGTCTGTCCCTAAGAAAGCAGTGAGTGAATCTGTTGTTGTAGTGTATCAGCTGACTGTGTGTGCACAACAGGGGTAGTCTGCATCACCTAAGAAGCAGTGGTGAATCTGTTGTTGTAGTGTATCCAGCTGACTGTGTTAACTGTATGGGGTAGTCAACATCACCCTAAGAAAAGCAGTGAGTGGGCTCTGTTGTTATGCCAGTGTATCCAGCTGACTGTGTGTGTTGTAGGGGTAGTCTGCATCACCCTAAGAAGCAGTGAGTGAATCTGTTGTTGTAGTGTATCCAGCTGACTGTGTGTATTGTGTAGGGTAGTCAGCATCACCCTAAGAAAGCAGTGAGTGAATCTGTTGTTGTAGTGTATCCAGCTGACTGTGTGTACTGTGTGAATCTGTTGTTGTAGTGTATCCAGCTGACTGTGTGTATTGTAGGGTAGTCTGCATCACCCTAAGAAAGCAGTGAGTGAATCTGTTGTTGTAGTGTATCCAGCTGACTGTGTGTATTGTAGGGTAGTCTGCATCACCCTAAGAAAGCAGTGGTGAATCTGTTGTTGTAGTGTATCCAGCTGACTGTGTGTGTGTGAGGTTCTGCATCACCTAAAGCAGTGGTGATTGTTGTTGTAGTGTAGCTGCTGGTGTATTGTAGGGTAGTCTGCATCACCCTAAGAAAGCAGTGGTGAATCTGTTGTTGTAGTGTATCAGCTGACTGTGTGTATTGTAGGGTAGTCAGCATCACCCTAGAAAGCAGTGAGTGAATCTGTTGTTGTAGGTATCCGCTGACTGTGTGTGTAGGGTAGTCTGCATCACCCTAAGAAAGCAGTGAGGTGAATCTGTTGTTGTAGTGTATCCAGCTGACTGTGTGTATTGTAGGGTGGTCTGCATCACCCTAAGAAAGCAGTGAGTGAATCTGTTGTTGTAGTGTATCAGCTGACTGTGTGTACTGTGGGGTAGTCTGCATCACCCCAAGAAAGCAGTGAGTGAATCTGTTGTTGTAGTATCCAGCTGACTGTGTGTATTGTAGTAGTCTGCATCACCCTAAGCAGTGAGTGAATCTGTTGTTGTAGTGTATCCAGCTGGATCAGGTAATAGGGCAGTCTGCATCAATCTCAAGAAAGCAGTGAGTGAATCTGTTGTTAGAAAGTGTATCCAGTCGACTGTGTAAAATGTAGGGTAGTCAGCATCACCCTAAGCAGTGAGTGAATCTGTTGTTGTAGTGTATCCAGTTGACTGTGTGTATTGTAGGGTAGTCTGTATCACCTCGTAAGAAAGCAGGAGGAATCTGTTGTTGTAGTGTATCCAGCTGACTGTGTGTATTGTAGGGTAGTCAGCATCACCCCAAGAAAGCAGTGAGTGAATCTGTTGTTGTAGGTATCCAGCTGACTGTGTGTAATGTAGGGGTAGTCTGCATCACCCTAAGAAAGCAGTGAGTGAATCTATTGTTGTTGTGAAAGTTGTATCCAGTCAGATCAAAATGTAGGGTGGCCCATCACCCTACAGTGCCAGCACAGTGAATCTGTTGTTGTAGTGTATCCAGCTGATCAGTAGCTTGTAGGGTAGTCAGCATCACCCTAAGAAAGCAGTGAGTGAATCTGTTGTTGTAGTGTATCCAGCTGACTGTGTGTACTGTAGGGTAGTCAGCATCACCCTAAGAAAGTAGTGAGTGAATCTGTTGTTGTAGTGTATCCAGCTGACTGTGTGTACTGTAGGGTAGTCTGCATCACCCTAAGAAAGTAGTGAGTGAATCTGTTGTTGTAGTGTATCCAGCTGACTGTGTGTACTGTAGGGTAGTCTGCATCACCCTAAGAAAGCAGTGAGTGAATCTGTTGTTGTAGTGTATCCAGCTGACTGTGTGTATTATAGTAGTCAGCATCACCCTAAGAAAGCAGTGAGTGAATCTGTTGTTGTAGTGTATCCAGCTGACTGTGTGTATTATAGTAGTCTGCATCACCCTAAGAAAGTACCTACTCTAATGTAAAGCCATATTCAATTTTTTTTTTTCTATTTTATTCTCTATATTAAGACTTTCAATGTTTTCTCTACTTTTTTCCTTTGTATTTTCTTCTAGTACTTATAATTCTTCTTCACTTCTTTTTCTTCTTTTTCTTTTTTTTTCTTCGAGTAACTCAACTGATATTAATAGGAGAAAAAAACCAAACAGGCAATGGAAAACTCAAGAGATGTGTGTGGCTGCTGTGCTGTATTCTGTGACGTCATATACAGGGGACGGAGAGTGTGGCTGGCTGCAGTTACAGCTCACTGCTTCATTACATATGTTCACTTCCCATACATACACACCCATGCTCTTCATTTTTCTTATTTTATAGTTTTAGATTATATTTTCTTAATTTGTAAGCCACATTAGAGTACAGGGGGTTCCCGACTTACGAATGCCCGGCGATACGAACGAGGTTAAACTTTAAATTTACAGTACCCGGTGTATTTTATTTACCTGATGACTTTTTTTACTTTTATTTACTGTATTTTGTCATTCTATTTCTTCTTTCCTCTTAAATTAAGTGATTTTAGATGTATATAAGGACTTAGGCTATGATATTGTTCTGTAAGTACAGTACTGTATGCACATAGCATGTGTTCCAACTTACGTACATTTTTGACTTAAGAACATCATCAGGAACAGAAATTGTTCATAACCCGGGGACCACCTGTATTGTAATGATTTTTCCACAACTTTTATCGTTTCATTACAAATAACAAAGGCAACATTTTAGCTGACAGGCCTCCTCATCCCTGGTTTCTCCTCCATCATATCTCTAAACTGAATTAATGCATTGTTAAGTGAATTGACCCTAAACGAGGGATACCTGTACTGTACATCAAAGAGGAGTATTAGACTCAACAATCTGTTTTTACAGTCTCCTTATCTGCCCAATCCTGCCTCTATCTGTTCTGTTTTCTAGCCAAACTTCTCTCCTTCACCCCCACCCCTCTTACCAAGACAGAATACTGTAATCCCTTACAAACTCTACATACTCATATCAATTTATTTGCAGAACTGTGTTATGCTGTATTGAAGTTATAATTGTGGAGAAATGTAAAGTCGGGAAGAGTTTCTAGATGAATCCTCTTATTTATGGTAGCACATTTTATGTTGTATGTCATATATTTAATATTTGCATTAATACTAATTTTCTTGCCTTTAGGATAACTACATCACTGAAGTCAACACAATGTTTGCTCGTCTAGATGAAAGAAGAAGAGTAAGTGATTTTTAGGCTCCTTGTTTGGAAGGTTAATAAGAAATTTGTTTATCATTGGGTCCTTGTGAGGGGCCTGCAAGAAAACCCAACCACTTTCTTAGAGGTGTTCAATCAGTCACACAGTATTTGGAACATTTAGTTCTACCTCCTCATTTATTCTTTGGTGTCCTAGATGAACTTCAATTATAAATGAGGAATTGATCCTAAAATCTATTTTTACAGTAACTGAGCTTGGAGAAAATTACTGTTCTCATCTCCTTGGGATCTTGAAATAGCAAGACTTATTGTAAAATTCGTTGATCATGCCATCTACGAACAGGTCACACATTCATTCTGTGATGCTTACAACTCATTAGCTCTTAGTCTTCAGCTTCTTACTTACCTCTTTCTTATTGAGAAATGAGGTTGTGGAGGAAAACTGACCTGATTTAGTCCCAGCCTTCATGAGTTATGGCTTCCCTGCAATTCTTAGCCCTATGTTTGGGGCAAGCATATGCATGAGTGATTTTATCCAGGCTCAGCTACAAATTAGAACTTCTGGGTCAGTCCTTCATTTGAAGTAAATGGGATGATATGAATGATCTGGAGTCCCTTCCTCCTCTTTTGATGGCATTCCTTATTGGCAGAAAAATGTGAGTTGAAGTATGGAGTTCTCTTTTTAGCTACAGTGTCCAAGAAAGGATTCAGCCAGCTTCAGAGTACATACAGGTATACATGCTTTTGAGGCAACTTCCAAATTGGCCTTGGAGCACTGCTTTGTAAACTCTGGTTTACTAAGTATATTGTATACAGTAGATGTTGAGGGGTATTTGATGCTGAATTAGTTGTAAAGTGCAACCTTCTGGACATGGTAAGCTCTGTCAAGAAATGTTCTGTGGCAAGAATCTCTCTTAGATCTCTTATCTCTTCCTGTCTATCATAAATTGGGATTTCATATTACTGTTCCTAATTTATAAAATTAAAAGTTATAATATGGGGGGACCTGTAAACTAGAATTCAGCACTACTGTAATTTCTGATTATCATGAATGATGTCAGAATCTTTATACCTTTGGTACTGTCTGCCATTGTTGAATTTTTATGAAACGTTTAATTTATCAACATAAAAGGTTTTAAATTATTATTAATGGTGTATTTAAATTATTATTAATGGTGTATGTTTGTACTCACATGGTCAGTTATCATATTTGAAATTAGTTTAATTTAATTTTCAAAATTTTAGTGAATATATTTTGCATTTCTTAGATTCATCTTTGACATAAAATTATTGAAAATTACAATTCTGAAATTCTCAAGAAGTAGAATTTTTTTTACTGCATGTACAGAAAAAATTGCATGAAATATACAGAAAAAATTGCATGAAATATTTTATCAGTCATGAACTATATTTAAAACAGCTAATTTTGTTACAGTACCCACCCCTGTTGCATAAAAAAATGAACTTTATAATTCAGATGTAGACAAAACTTTTCTATTTGCTTCATATTGTCTTTACCAACACACAGAAACGAGAAGTACCAGACTACTTGTGTGGCAAGATCAGCTTTGAGATACTGCGGGAGCCAGTTGTTACTCCAAGTGGTATAACTTATGACCGCAGGGACATAGAGGAACACCTACAGGTAGGAGACCAGTTGTTACTCCATGTGGTATTACCTATGACCACAGAGACATAGTGAAATATAATATACGTACCTGTATATTGATTATATATTTTACTGATGGCCTGTTAGAACACAGGTCACCATTAGTTAAATATTGAATACTGTACTCTAATGTAAATCAATTATGATGGTGTAATAGTTGAAATAAGCCTCTACCTAATGCATACCAGTATCCCAAGTTATCATTTGTGAAGGAATTGATAATGAAAAAAAGGACAATTTATTATTTTATTTTATTTTTTGTAACTTTTCCTACGTACCTGTATAGAAATGATAACTTACTGATACTTTTTTTCAGCGTGTTGGTCACTTTGATCCCATTACAAGGACTGACCTCACAGTTGACCAACTAATGCCTAATTTAGCCATGAAGGAGGTGGTCGACTCATTCCTCACGGAGAATGAATGGGCACTGGACTACTAGCCCTAACCAAACTTGTAGGTTTAGAAAAACACATTTCTTCAATCTGCTACCAGCCATGTTTTATTTTAGTAGCAAATTGTTCATTCATAAACTACTATGTATAGTAATGTTGAAAACTCACAATAACCTGTAAGTTCATAAAGCACCTTGCCTTGAAATAGTGCTGATAACATTGAGTTCTGGTTGGCGATTACCCTTCCATTAATCAGTCCAAAGCTAAGTTGAAATGTCAACTCACTCAGCTGTCCAGACATGTAAATTCTGTATATTAATAGATATCAATCCGTCTGTTTTCCTGTTCCCAAGATTTCTTTTAATGTACGAGATCCCCGGGCATTGAGAGTGCTGCACCAACTTCGTTCAAATGACCACACATTTTCTTAAGCTTAAAAGCAGTGGCCAAAAACTTAGGCAGCATCACTCACTAAAAATAACTTAAATATTAACTGCCTGCCAGATGCATATTTTGAATTCAGGTCACTGCATCATATCTGTAACCATTAAGTTTTTTCTTGGTTTTATTTCAGGCTGTCTCACATAAGATTTGAAGAAGTTTGCATATTACTGTACAGTACTTGATTTACACATGAAATTTATACATCACTTAAGGTTATATATCCTTGGCACATCCTGTAGAAGTTCCCAATAAGGTACAGTACAGGTGTATAGCTTTATATATTTCCTCTATATTCATGGATGACTTGTGAATTATCGTAACTGGTACAGTACAATATAAGTTTGGTCATAAATATGGAAGTGTATGGAGCAAGTGAATCTGGAATGTTTTAAGTGCAACTAAACCTTACTTTATGGTTCTTTATAATAACAGTGAATTTTGCTTTTATATTTTCAGGCACACTGCTGAGGGTTACAGTATACAGTACATCAAACTTTCATTGAACTTTTATACATATTTTGGGTTATATTGAACTAGCACTCAATATCCACATTGTAATAGTTATTCTCCATAAGTGATAAACTATTTAGTTAATTGATGTCTCATGATCTCTGACCTGAGACCAAAAAGGGCTTAGTGTTGATTACTCTTATTTTTTTTCACTACAATGCAGCCTTCTCACCCAGCCAAATCAAGATTGAAGATTTAACACCTTATAATTCTCTAGTTATCTCAAGAACCAGCGAGACTTTCGAGTCACTGAATAAAAAATTAGACCCTAGGGACTAAGCTCTTACATTCCAAATGGTCATTCAGAATTGTGATTTTGGCCAGTATTTATCACTAAATTTCATGCTAATTATATACAGCATGTCCTTAAAATTCGCGGGGGTTAGGTTTTCAAATGGTCGTGAACAGCCATACCCACGAATAACATCTGTTACAGGGGGTTGTAAATTTTTGCTCATATATGTATATTCTCTTTATGTGTTTGCTCTTAGGACAATTATTTCTTTTACCTGTATTGAATATATATATGTGTGTGTGTGTGTGTAGACTCACACGCATATATACAATACAGGTACTGTAAAAGAAATTACTGTCTTTAGAACGAATGGCTCCCTGTCTCGGCCCCGAAAATGCCAGTATCCTTAAAACTACCCTTAGACATTCTTGGGTACATCCAGGGTATCATCTGTGAATTGTCAGGGCATGCTGTACACTAAAGATGTAAAGTTGTCAGAGAAAGGGTGGATTTTGGAAGTACACAAAGTTGGAGGTGTGGATATTGTCGGCAATGCATGAGAGAGTGAATGGAGTGTCAGCTGAATGTCAGAAGCGTTCGCTCATGTAAACAAGGCAGCTAGAATTAAGGATGACGTAGTAACACATCAGTCGACCATGGGATTTTTTTTTTTTAGAGAACATATTCCAATAATAAATTGAGTTCTGTTCTCACAACTGAGGGTTGGTGGCCACTGGCCTACACTCTAAACATTTTTGGGCTGTTTTTACCCATCCTCCAAGATTTTGCATCTCTCTGGGGAGCCAGTTTTTAATTTCACTCATCATTCATCCTTCCCAGTCTCTGCCTTCCCCTGGCCCTCCTACTCTCAACCTTACCCATTTATATTTATGTTATTATCCCCTCATTCCTAATTAAATGGCCAAAGTTTCTCATTTTTCTTTTTCTGCACATGTCAGAGGCCTTCAATCTCTTTTTGGTGTCTGCTGAAAGTGTCCACACTTCCAATCCATACAACACTCCTTACCATATACTGTATAGCCTTTCAGTAGCCTTTTTATCAAATTAAAGTTACTGTCATTAGGTCTTTCATATTATTCAGATTACAGTATTAAAAGCTGTTTTTGCTTGACCTATTCTTGTTATAATTTCTTTCGCACATCTACCATCACAGCTAAGCCACAGAATTGCAGCGCCAGATATTTTACCCAATCAGTCATTCAACCATCACAGCTATTGTTCCTTCCGAATTTTTTTTTTATATTGGTTTAAGATCCCTGTTGCCTATTATAGTTGTTATTTAGGAATTGCTTTCATCTTGACAGCATTAACTCTTAACCTATATTCTTCACTGGTCAATGAATCGTTTAAATTTAAGGTTAATATTTCACAAGAAGTTGGTGAACTTGTGTTATGTCCTTATTTTCCAAATCAGCAACATTCACAAGTCAGAAGGGTCTTCGTGATTTCTGTGCCACAGTCCGTAGAATAAATTGAACAAATGTTTCTCAAGAGTATTCCATATAAATTAACAAGTAAAAAGGTGAACAACATCGGTCTAGGATTGGCATATTACTTTTATTTCCCAGCTTCAGAAATTTGAAATGTTTACTTTAAGCAAATAAGGGAACCACTTAAATATGTCATTTGGAACTACAGTACAGTATTCTAGAAATGTTTAATAATGCATTTTATGCTATTCCCATATATAGGAGAATTAAAAAAAAATGCTTTCAAGTTGGGATGAGTTTCCTGTCAATTCAGAGTTCTTGCTTCAGAACTCAATTAAGGTAGTGCCAAGAATATTTTCAAAGTACAGTGACTGCTTTGTCGAATTGAACAAGGAATACATATTGAGTCCTTCAAAAAGAACTTCTTCAACAGCTACAAAGAGAGCTTTAAATCCTCTCCTGTTGAACTGGGAAAAAACCTCAACAAACATTTCAGTACAGGGGGCCCCCCAAATTCGCGGGAGGTTAGGTTCTCAAAATGGCCGCGAATCTCCAAATCCGCGAATAACATTTGCGGACCAAGGGGGGGGGGGGGGTACATTTTTACTTGTGTACAAAGAGATGTATATTCCCTTTATGTTTTTGTCCTTAGGACAATTATACCTTTTACCTGCAGTATTGTATATGTGTCTGTGTGTGTAGACACACACAGACAAAACACATGCAAATGAATAATAATTGGAAAATCCTCTCACAAATAATCAGAAACAAGTATATTAAAAATGTGACAGTCTACCCTCAAGTCCATGCTCTATTAATAAAGTACGTACGGTAATAGAGCCCGGACTTGAGCAGTGGCACTGTTGAGGCCTGCAGAACACCACATATATCAGTTATCACATTAAATATCAAGTAGGTTATGGTCTTCCTCTAAATAAGGATTGTCAAGCTTTTATAAACACCTAATTTCTTAAATTATATCAGTGGCATCTGACAAAGTATCTATTATAAATCATTAAATAATGGGTGCAAAAATACTTACGACAAAAGAATATTAAGGTTTCAGTGTGATCTACAGTAATTTAGAAATAAAGTACCGGTAATTAAAAAAACATGACTAGGCATCATGCACAATGCTGGCCCTCTGTAAAGTTGCCAATGATCTTATTGATGAACATTTAAATACCGGGTAGTAAATATTTTTATTTGTGATCCGATTATTATTTCAAGTAAACCAGAAAACTGAATAACTTTCCCAGGTGAAAAAACTATAACTGAAAGTGGACTGTAGGGTTATTTAGAAATATTAATAATAATAATGTAGACCAGTGTTGTCCAGCTGAGGGAGAGCCGCCGCCGGTCTTCATAGCCTCTCAACAAGTGAATGCAGTTTTTGAATTGCATGAATTTGTACCCATTACATTTACAGAAACCTTATTAAATAGCCACTCTTATGGAACAACAATTCTTGGGTAATAATTATAATATCACCGTATAACATAAGACTTTATGCTTATTAAGAGAAAGTATTAAATTTGACTAAAATGGTTCAAATTCCTTATGCTCCAACACACTAAAGTTCATTTTAGCATGTTATTGATAAGGTGGTTACGTCTATATGTCCATTGAGAGAATGCGGCTTATCCTTCTGCATGCATTGAGGGACGCTGAGTTTCCTTGATTTTCCTGAAGATGCTATTTAAAAATATATTTTGCTTTTTACTAGGCATGCAATGCATGCCTTGCAATTATTAAGAATATTTTCCCATTATTATTTATTTGTATGTGTTTTGTGTGTGTGTTTGTGTGTCCACACACACACACACATACTTACTTACAATACAGGTAAAGGAAATTACTGTCTCTAGAACAAATGGCTCCCTGTCCCAGCCGCTTAAATGCAGGCAACTTTAAAACTACCTACTGACATTCTTGGGTACATCCAGGGTGTCATCCGCGAAGTAAAAATCCGCGAACTTGGGGGGGGGGGCCTGTACTGTAGTAGGACTTCCAGTAAAGCACTAATGTTAGGCTATTTCATCTTACTTGTTCTTTGCAAGGAATTTATTTTTGGAATGTCAGATATAACAGATACTGTGAATACGTATGAGGCAAGTTAATATTTGCATGTGGACATACAAATCAGTCTGAGCTGAAAAATCTCTGGGATGATCTTTGGTCAAAGACTTAGAACAGATTGTGTATAAACTTTATAGTCTAAGACACTTATGGACTAGTCCAGATTTCTGACTTTTAGATCACTAAGAGTCAATTTTTGGGATTTGTGTAAATTAATGGACAAAATTTAGGTGGTAAGAGTGGTACTGGGAACCTAGCCAAGCCATTCCCCAGGCCCTTGGCCTAAATTTTTCAATTTACAGGCTTATTGTATTCCTCAAATTATTGAGAGAAAATTACGTATGAGATTAATTGTTCATTATAAATATGTACAGTCCACAGTGATATACAGTATTATGCTGTTCTGAATATCATTAAACAAGGATTATCAAATATTAACCTTAGAGAAAATTACAAGGTTATTTTTCAGTTCAACCTTTAAAACTTGTTCCATCATGACCAAGCATTATATTGGAATACTGTATTTTTATAATTACAGTATAAAATAGATGCTCGATGTGAAAGTTAGATTTGTTTACCATGAAAGACAGGCAAACTCCCACTGTCTGTCTCCCCTCCCACTGGATGGTTTGATTGTAGTGGAGGAATTGGACATGGACCAGAACAGATGGAAAAGGTTTTCTTTATTTCCTCCACTCTATTGTATTTCTCTAGTCATATAAAATAGGTGATTATATTTTGACTGATTTGTAGAACTTGTACTTGAATATTTAGTTCCATTTGGTTTGTTCTGACTTATTTCAAAAGACTACAGTACAAAAAAAAATTATTTAGGAAAGAGATTTTCATTTGTTCATTCTTACTACACTAGTATAAGGTTAGTTTGTGACATTGAGACTGAAATTAGTTATTTAGACTATTGATTATACAATATTTACTTGGATAACATAATGGTACAGCAGTAGCATCATTTTCGTTATTTATTCAGGCCGTGAAATCTTATGTATTTATAAGTACCTTAAAGTGAATTAATTAATTATATCATTCCTCTGAAACTCATAATGAATAATCTTCATCTTTAAACACTTTCTGTAAGATGTTTTGGTTCCTTTTGGACCTTAATGAAAGAAAAAATCATAATTACCCTGCCAACAAGTGCAAGGCAGAGTTGTTTTCAGTCCCAATTCTTTGTGTGCAGAAAATTACACAAGGATGGGATTGTAGACTTGGCAGGTGACAAGGTTCGTGCGATAAAACTCGTAGGGCACATCACACCAAACTGACCTA